TCCCTTGTTAGCATCATCAATTTTAAATTATCCAATACTAATCGAATAATAAACAATAATAACGAAGAGAAATTTGGAAAGCCGAATTCAACATTGGGAGCGCCATAGATTGCACAAGGCTTAGAAAACCTGTGATGTTTACCCCATGCTAGTTATATATTTGCCCTTTGTGTGAACAATTACGTTACATATAGTTGGGACTTGTAATACTATTAGCAAATCCATAAAATCGCCTCCGTTGCGTTGAATTTCAAACCGAACGACAACGCATTTTCTCACTATTCTATCATGGAATTGTTTTCTAAATGCCTATACTTGCCTTCGAGTGATAAAACATCCATTGCTTGAATAATCTACATATCAGTAGATTTTTGAAGATCAGGGAACTTCCAAATCGCTCCAACACATTTGCTGATGTAATATCATGAGCCTCATCGAATTTTTACTGCAATTTCAGAGAATGACAGACTTTTTTGCTTAGCACTAAATTTGATCTGAAATCAGCACACAATTTGAGTGTTAAAGTTTGATCAAAATGGCATTCTTTGCCTATCTATATAACCACTGTTTTAGCGGACACCTTACGAAATGTTACGACATAGCTCACTAGGAAATTTAATTTACGAGTTTATCCTGACCAATTAATTACGATAAGGTATCATATACACTGAGGACGACACAAAGAACACGATATTCGAGGACAGCACGGGGAAATTATTACATGTTCGTTTAATGCAAGCCTAGACTGTTTTTAGCCTCTTCAGCGAAGTATCGCACGTCAAAGTCGGCGTCGTTCATTAAGTTCATCAGGATCGGCTTGATTTCGTTTTGCAGTATGCTGAAAATAACAAAAGGTTATAATTACGTTCCAACACACAATAAAACTCTTCTTGAAGATTAAAAAAACGCCAACAAACCTCCCATCCACGACCTTCCCAATCTTCTGAAGGCCCTTGGCCACTCCAAAGCGCACATTCGGAACATTATCCTCACTAAGCTGAACAACCCCCATTAAAAAGAAAGTTGCTCAAAACAAGGTGAATTTCAAGAAAAAATTGGGAACCTCTTTTATGAT